TCCTTGATGGTATATGGATATTATCCTATCACTGACAGCACTGCACTTCAGGATAGATCTTGAAACATTCTTTTTGACAGTGAATGTGATGCCATTACTCTTCAATTTGCCATTCCCATCAGAGTAGGCCATATGATTGTCTGATTCAAAATGGCCAATACCATTTCAGCTCACTAATGCCTAGGATATCAATCTTCATGTGCTCCATTTCATTTTTGACAACTTCTAATTTTCCTTGATTCATACTTTGTACATTCCACATTCTGATTATTAATGGATGTTTACAGCTGTTTCTCCCCAATTTGAGTTGTACCCCATCAGCAAATGATGGTCCTAAAAGCCTTACTCATCCATGTCATTAAGGTTAACTCTATTTTGAGCAGGCAGCTCTTCCTCCTATTTTGAGTGCCTTTCAACCTGAGAGTTTCTTCTGGCACTATATCAGACAATGTTTCATAGCTATTCATAAAGTTTTCTAGTAACATATCAGACAGCATTTCACTGCTATTCATAAGGTTTTTACCGGCCTGTTTTTTCAGAAGTGGATGGCCCCATCCTCCTTTCTACTCTGTCTTAGTCTGGAAACTCTGCTGAAACCTGTCCACCTTGGGTGACTCTGAGGGTATTGGAAATACTAGTGGCATAGGCACCATCCTAACAGCAATACACAAGCCACCACAGTACAACAAACTGACAGATAAGTGTTGGGTCAGCAACTATAGTGAAATCATAAAAATTACTGGAAAAGAATCTACTCCAGATATCCTCATTTTATATTTAACAATTCATTTTTCTTATTTTATATATTTCATTCAAACTGCAGTAAAACAAACCATTCCCTTTTAAGTCAGGAGAACAAGGTGAGAAATGTGACTAAATGGTTCTATCCGTATAGAATTGGCTAAGAACCAACTTTTTTTTCTTTAAATCTGGGTAGGTCTCAGTCACTGCCACATGAACATCTACCTCAAAAAAGCAAAGAAAGAAGAAAGAAGCCTACAACCTTATCTAATATGAGTCAAGATCCTTGTTTATAATATAATATGATGGTGATCGGGGTAGGGGGTAAGGAATCATGTACTAAGCAGCCAGCACTAATTGATACACCATAGGAAGAGATGACATGAAAGCAAACTTTATATGCAACAATCTATATTTAAGTTTGTAGAAGACATACAGAATTCCTACATTATTCATGTGAATGTCAACCAGCATAATCCTTGAAAACAATCTGGCAATGATAACCCTTAAAAATATCTGAATTCAGTAAAAACGCTTTTAAGAATCTAGTCTAAGAAAATTATCTACAGATGTTCATGGCCCCACTATGCATAACACCAGAAAAATGTCAACAGCCTGAATACTATAAAATATAGTATAAGTACCTCCTACCTAGTGGATATTTTGTTGAATGTTTAAATGCTTAATATAATCTTGAATGCTGTAAATTATTTTCATCATTTTTATGAGCAAAAAGACACTAAAGCTTAAAAAGGCTAAGGATCTTGCCTTCTGTTATAAGCTAGTAGTATGGATTAAGAGCTGGATTCAAATCTGGGGCCTATCACTCTGAAATTTGCATCCTTTTCAATTCCCCTCAATGCTCAGGAGCAGTAAGAGTTCAATGATCACATAACCAAAGCATGCTCAATGGATTATGCATCCATTAAAGTATTTATAATAAGAAAACTACTGTGTTAAATAAAGATACAAATTTGTAGATGCAGTATATCTAAGCTATATACCAAATCATTTATATAGAAAAAGAAATGACCCAAGAGGGAAAGAGTGAATTTCTCTGGGATAGGACTATACAAAGCACAGGGGGCATTCTCACTTGAAGTTTCCAAAATTTTGTTTATACTAGGAAAAGATACTCAAAATGAGGTACTGAAAGGTTTTGGCAAGTTTATAACGAAGATCACTAGTTAGAATTCTTTCAGTCCTCTTCAATCAAACATCCCTAGGCAAGGAAAATGTTTATTTGGTTTTTTTATACCTTCTCAAGTGAGCCTGTCCCATTAAGGGGCTCAGAGTATCTTCCAAGTCAGCAGTACAGTGAATACATAAACCTGAGCTACAGCCACCCATGTAAGTTCATTAAAATCTGAAGCAATAACGAAACCCAGGCACAAAACCACTTCAGTCACTATAAAAGTGTAACTCTTCCATATGAAAGCAAAGCTTGAAGGTAGAAAATGAACAATGAGTAAAAGACTACATAGGTAATAAGGATGGATGTGTCATGACTCATAAAGACCTCAGGCCACGTTTATTATGTATTGAAGTTGGGACAAATCTTGACATTTTTGTTTAGAGAGGAAAGATGGACAGAACTAGACATAAGATCTGTGAGTACACTTACAAATTCTTACACTGTATAATGGACCAAGCTAAAGCTGAGTCAGAAATATACTAACAGTTGATGGTTAATATCTAACATATTTTTTACTTTCAAGCACCTCTAGTGCTCTGTATTTGTTGAGGTAGAGGCTAAACTTCTGTAACAGAGACCTAAACATACAGTGAGCGGTTCAGGTAAGATCAGTTACTATAACAGGTAGTCCAGTCAGGGTAAGCATCTCTCTTTCACAAGGTCATCCAGGGTCCTTCTGCCTTGTTGCTATGTCACTCCCTAGGTAGGAACGGGCTCATTTATTTTCATTTATTAAAAAAAAAAAAAAAAGGAACCAAAATGTAAGTAGTGAATTTCTCTGGGAAGAGGGCTATAAAAAGTACAGGGGAAATTAATCTGAAGAGGAAAAGTTCAGGTGGAAGGATGGGTCCCAGAAGTTACACACATCACTGGTACTCATATCTCATGGCCACTAGCAGGGTAAATGATTGTTGTTGTTGTTATGTGCCGTCAAGTTGCACCTGACTCATAACGACCCCTCCTTGGGTTTCCAAAGCAGTATCACTATGGAAGTAGATTGCCCAACCTTTCTTCCGAGGAGTGGCTGGTGGGTTTGAACCACCAGCCTTCTGGTTAGCAGTTAAGTGCCTTAGGCACTATGCTACCAGAGGAGGGCAAACTAGTACCAGCTAAAACTCAGAAGTTGCAATTACTAAAAGGAAGAAGGGGGCCAATGGCATCTCCAATGGCTCAGTGACCACATCTTAAGCAGACTTTAAGAAGTCTTCACATTCTTAGAATATAGATGCCTGAAGGAATTAGTATCTGGAAACACAGATTAAGAGTTAAGGCAAGGATTAATAGAGACATGGGTAGAAAGGACAAATCAGGACTTCAAGCAACCCCCCTCTTAGTCTGGGTTACATGTGGCTTCCTCTTTTGAAAAACGCTCCCTGGATAATTCCAGTTGGACAGTAATCGAAGAGGAAAAAAATCAATAATCCCCTGTCACTTATGTCTGTCTAACATTCCTCTCTGGTCAACCCATTTGAACCTAAGAATCAACCCCCAAAAGTAGAGCGAAGATAAAAAGATGAAACTAGATTAGAGCTCTACTTCCAGTTCTATCAACCAAGACATATGAACGTGCCCTTTTCTAAAGTCAGCTTTTACACTTGTAAAATGAGTAAGATGATCACGAAGATCCTTTCCAGCTCTAATTTTCAGATGGTCTGAATCTGAGATTTTCCTTTGCTTTTATGTCAATTAAGAAATCACTTCTAAAGCACTGATTAATGTTTGTGAACACTGAAAAGAACTGTCATTACATATCTTTAAGATTTGTTATAACAGTTCTAGGACATCTCCAAAGAAAATAATCTAGAGATTAAAGTAAAAGAATGGTATCCTCATAATAACTTCACACAAATTCAATACATTAGGTTAACAGTTTTCCCAGTAGAGTTTTTTTTTTCACCTGTTTATATGTTGAAATTCATCAAAACTTTCTTTGAATATCTCAGTCTTAAAAGGTTTGAAAACCACCTCACAAGAAATTTTAATAGCCTGTGTGCTTAAGGAAACTCTAGGACAAGAATATTTCTTTCCATAGATGCTACTTCATAAACTAAGAGTTAATCCAATTGTATCTAGCTTTTCCTTTTTCCTTCTGGTATTTTAGGTAAATCTGTTATTTTAAAAGACCTAGTGGAATAGTTTCTGCTTTACAGATATATATCAATTAGAAAGAAAGGTTCTTAATAGGAAGGCATTCCTGCAGAAATATACCTTTACTATCACCATCACTAAATAAATCAGTCATCAATCCTTAGATACAGAACCTTTTCTAACTCCCAAAAATCCACGCTTCCAAACTAACCAACTAGTCTTGGGATCATCCCATTTTCTCTCACAAGACTTTCCTCTAGTCTCAATATACACCTGCTGTTGTTGTTATGTGCCGTCGAGTCGAACCCAACTTATAGCGACCCCTCCTTGGGTTTCCAAGGCAGTATCACTATGGAAGTAGATTGCTCAACCTTCCTTCTGAGGAGTGGCTGGTGAGTTTGAGCCGCCAGCCTTCTGGTTAGCAGTCAAGTGCCTTCGGCACTATGCTACCAGAGCTCGGCAACCTTAACCATCTCAAGATTATCTCCATTTAGGACTACTATTGTTAGCTACAGTTGAGTCGATGCTGATGTACAAAAGAACAAAATGTTGGCTGGTCCTGTGCCATCTTCACAATTGTTGTATGCTCGAGTCCACTGTTGTGGCCATTTAGAATCGTGTCCTGTGAAAAATTCTACTCTTGGGCTATTCACTAGTAGTTCCACATGGGTCCTCTGCCAAATTCATATACCATATAGTCCATTTCACATACCTATAAACTTCTTTAAAAAAATAAAATCAAGATAACTTTAAAACAAGACACAAACCTTCATGAACATATAATCATCAAATTTATTATTTTCATTAGGCTGCCATTTTATGAAGAATTCTTAAGACTAATGTTTCTCAGCATGCAAGAGTTAGCATTAATAGCTTAAGTTACTATAAATACTGCTGCTTGGAAGCAGTACAACTGGTTTAGAGTTTTAAGACTACAGAGTTTTATTATGCAAATCTTACTTAGTATATGCTAAAATCAGAAGGTTCTGAACAGCTGGTTAGGAAGGTAGCCAAGATGCAGGAAAGATGTCTGTGCCTCCTTTTCAAGGGCAGCCAACTCTTGAACTGTAGGTGCCAAAATATCCACATGGCCTTTATAGCTTCCACCTGTATCACACACACAAATTGCAAACTAATGTAAATGACATGCTTGAAATAACTTGTTAGCAGTACTTTGGCTCAATTATATTAGTTTAAACGTTGTTTCTAGCAATAATGATGTAGTATTGGCAAGTTATCTCCAAAACTTTAAGTTTAAAAAATGTTAAATCAATTATTTAACATAAATTAGGTCTCACTAACAGCTGTCTCTATACCTACCCACCCCTCTTCTACCCTTTTCTTCAGTTTAGAAATTAGTTGGGCCTGAATCTTAAAAATTTTTCAAGTACAAGCTAAGGAAGGGCATTCCAGGGAAAGGGAATAGTATCTTGGGGATCCTAACCTACTTGAATTAAGTCAAAGCTTTCTGATTCCTTGTTTAAAATTACCTACTATACTCGTTTCCAAATAATTCCATAAAACATTCAACTATTCTATGACACTAATACATCAAGAAAAATAGATAAGCTGCTTCTCTTTACTCACATAAGATCATGCAAAAAAAAAAAAAAAAAAACTGCTACAAGACAGGTATGGACAAAGTGCTAAGAAAATAAAAAGGAGAAAACGATTAATATGTCAACAATCTACAATTAGGTGGTCAGGCGGTACAGTGGTTAAAGCATTTGGCTACTAACCAAAAGGTTAGTGGTTCGAACCCACCAGCTGCTCTGTGGGAGAAAGATGAGGCAGTGTGCTTCCATAAAGATTTAGTCTTAGAAATCCCATAGGGCAGTTCTACTCCATCTTATAGGGCCACTGTGAGTCAGAATCGACTCAGCGACAGTAGAATTTTTTGTTGTTGTTTATATACTTAACATAATGAAACAAAATTACTCTCTTCTTAAAATGAATCTTAAATAGCACATTCACATTTAAAACAGTTAAAAATAATTCAAAGCTTACCACCAATGGCCCTTTTTTGACCATAGGTAACTTTCCCATCAAATTCATCCACTGGTACCTTTATATCTGGCTCAACCTGAGATATGGTACAGTTCAGGTGTTCTTCTATCTCAGATAGCAACTAAGAAAGGGAAAGAAAATTAACATATAAAAAGCCCTCATTTTGACAGTTCCATTTTAATAGTATTAAATAAAACCAGCAGGTTATAATACTTAGCATAAATGGAAGTTAGATTTCTGAAGAGATTAACCTATGAGTTACAATTTATAAACTACAACCAACATTAAAACCAATTATTCATGACTTTTCCTCATAATTGGCAAATAGATAAAAGCTGCCATCTAACCTTTCTAAACAATTCCTCAATTCAGCAGACTATCTGACCAATTTAGTTTTTGTAAGATTCCCCCAAGTCTTACCTGCATCTCATTGTACCATATGGTACAGCCACCATCTTCCTTGAGTCTTGTGTTGTAACACCCCTTTCCACGGCTACTACATACATGGTACCAAACCTAATTTTAAGAGGGAAAGAACATTTAATATGTTATGAATACAGAAACCTGCTATAATGCTTTACTCTAAATCTTTATTTCATGATTTTCAAGGTACAAGAAACATAAATTACAGGTATGGCACATTACCCAGTTACTACTGTTACTCAGTTCTTTTTGAGAATAATCCAAGCATTTTTGTGAACTGAATGCCAGTTATAGAAGAGAATTCTCAGATAAAACTAGCATAAGAAAGTAAATCTTAGGGAATGCTATATAAAGATCCCATCACCACCATCAGTGGCCTTCAAGTCAATTCTGACTCATGGAGATCCCATGTGTGTTAAAGTAGTCCTGTGCTCCATGGGTTTTTCCAACGAGCCTTTGGGTATATTTGACCTTCCAACCTTTCAGTTAGCAGTCAAGTGTGTTAATCATTTGCATCACCCAAGGACATATCAAGATTGATATCAAAAATAAAGTTCAAATGTCTTCTATAAGAGAATAATCAAACTAACAGAAAAAAAATAAACTGGTGAATGTGAGCAATGGGTATATGAGTGTTCCTTATTCTTTCAAATTTTCTATAAATTTACACCACAATAATAAGCTTCTCATTCCCCCATAAAAATCTTCGATGGTACCATGTCAGAGAGAGTTTAAATACTCTTTGGTGAAAATGATGACATGAAAACTCTCTGGGGGGATATCACATTTTACATATTCCCTTTCTAAGTTCCATACTATTATTTGTTCATTCAATGATTACAGTGAAAAAGATACCATTAAAAAGTTCATTTATATTTATATGCAACTGAATTCAATTTTAATGGAAAAACCGAACTGCTTTTATTTCTAACATCTTAAATCACAATACACACATTGAATATAATACAATATTGAAAAGATTACCTTCTCTTTTTCTGTTGCCACAAGAGAAATGGCCAGACCCATCCTGAAAGATTTTAAGTCTTTATTAGCTTTTATTCTTGAAATATGTAAGCTTAAAATGGGGGGGAGGGGTTGTTACAGTAGTACCTTTCAGCTCTTCCTACTCTGCCAATTCGATGTACATAGTTTTGCTTTTCATCAGGTAGGGTGACATTTATAACTAGAAATAATAAGAATTTTTTACCAACTGCTAATAGTTTCTAAATCTGTAAATACTTCAAACATATTAGATTGCATTACTTTAGATTCTCTAAAATTCAAACTATAGGCATAAAGTTTCTTTTTACCATAAGGAACACCATGGATATCAATTCCTCTAGCCGCCACATCAGTGCAAATCAAGAATCTTACATCACCTTTCTAAAGAGAACAGAAAGAAAATAAAGGAATTTGTGTAATATATGCTAAAATAAGCACAAATGAAATAAACCTTTCCACTCAATGAGACCTCTAATAACTAATGTATCATTAACAGATTACAGGTCCAGATTCTAATAATTGCCTAGATCATCTTCCCAGCACTTCCCACTTTTTTTCACATTACGGGGCAAAGAGAAAACATATTTGTATTATACACTGGGGTAAACACAGTGTGGTAAACAGATGAGATTGCCAACAGCTAGAGGTGCCAAATGGCTCAAGCCCTACCCACCTTCACCAAGGGCTATGTAACATATTCATATGCTGCAAACACATGAATTAGAAGGTCTGCCCCCAAATGATAATATTTTTAATTCTACAAAACCATATCAATACCTTACTTAAATTAATCTGCAAATTAAGTTGTCTATAAATTTATTACAAACTATTTTAAGTAGTCTTATAAACATGGTTTAACTATCTAATGATACTTTTAAAATTACCTAACTGAAAAAATTTTGAAAACTTTCTTAAATTGAAAATTCTTATTATAGTAGTGCTGTGCTTATAGAGAAGGTATAATTTACCATTTGAGTGTCAAGGTTGACTAACTCCTACTATGATGAAGATATATCAGTCAAGACCAAAATATTTTTAAACATCTGGGACAAGAATTGTTTTAATAATGTTAACTGGGATCAATTAAAACTAGATACAACTTCCATATTAAGTATTAAGGAAATGTAGCTAACTAAATAACAGTACCTTAAATCTTTCCAAGTTTTGCTTTCTCTCATGAGGCTTTCTATCACCGTGAAGACAAACACATGAGAACTGGTGCCCTTTTTTATCAGGTCCTAGTGAAAAACACATTAAACATTTAATGCTGGAAAACACATAAGGCTAAGACAAAAAGCCAATATAATTCAGACTAAATACTACCATTTAATTCTATGGAAAGCTATACCTCAACTTGCCATAAACCATAGCTAACACAATTTTTGTCATAGGAGAAATGTCATTAAAATGAATTGCATGTAGCATTAAACTTGATTTATTTTTAAGAATATTTTAAAAGTCACTCATATCAATCTGTATAAGCAGGATATAAAGCAGTATGCCAACTAAAATGCATTACTAAGAGGAAAATGTATGTGTATGAATTCCCCTCTTCTGTATAAAGCTAAGAATCAAAAAGTAGTCAAAAGAGATCATTCTTAGAAGAACCAAAGTAAGCTTTACTAAAAGCCCATACCCCACAAACCTACCCTCCATAGTTATCCTAAGGAGCTCTGGTGGCACAGTGCCAAAAGCATTTCACTGCTAACCAGAAGGATGGCGGTTCAAACTCAGAAGCAGCTCCAAGGAAGGAAGATGGAGCAATCTACTTCCTTAAAGATTTACCACCTTGGAAACCCAATGAGGGTCACTGAGTCAGAATCAACTCGATGGCAGTGGGTTTGGTTTTTTGTAGAGTTATCCTGGTTTCCATGCTCAAAGCAGATTAGAAGTAGCAAAAGGATAAAGAGGTGCTATTACAGAAGCAGGCACAGTGATAGACAGTTTCAAAAAAGAAACTCTTCAAGACTGCACAGTAACAAAAAGCAGTGCTTGGAACACATTCAGTAAGGGACAACAGCCTTGTAAACCTCAACAGAATCTGTAGACAGCACTATGATATATCCCAAAATAGCAATCATGCCATTTTATTATTCTCCATAGTAAACTAGTTTCAATAAAATATACTTGAGAATTCAAGGAAACAGGATACATTCTGAAATATATCCATCCAAAATTACTAACACAAAAATTATGCAGGAGTGAAATAATAACAGCTAACCAGAACTTCCAGAGGCATATAGCTGAGGTTTCCTTACATTCTGAATTTAAATAGTTCAGGGAAATATCATCATATACACAATCCCAATCCATGGCTGGGGTTTTGGGGGGGGGGGGTTGTAGTGGGATTAGAGACCCTTTATTCCTCTCTCCTAAATCCCTGGAATCTGGTATATATTGTATTGTTTTGGTTTTAGTAATGGATTGGGAAATTTATTTTCTAGGCAGAGGTAACACAAATATTTAGGGAGGATAAAAGAAACTAAAAATATTACTACTTGATCAACAGACCTCCTACCTACACAATCAAATCTTCTGTTCAAAAACAACATGGACAGAAAGAAAATATTTATTACAAAAGTCACCGTAACTAAAACAATGAAGTCTGTCTGTCAGAACTTGAAAAATAAATGTGTTACTAAACTGTTCACTATAACGTACAGCATATGTGTTCTATATATGATCATTAGCTAAACTTTAAAATTGTTGTTCCAAATTTCTGTATCCTTTTACATTTTTTCTTTTATTTACATCAATTACAAAAGAGATATGTTAACGTCCTCCCCCACTATGACAGGGGATTTTGTCCATGGTACCTTGTGTATCTGTAAATTTTTACTTTATACATTTCTCCAACATTTATTATGAATATTCTTAAGCATATAGAAAAACTGTAAGAATCTTAACAATGAATAGCTAATACGTAAATTCTACTATTAACATTTTAATATATTTGCTTTACCAGCCATCTATCTGTCTATCTCTCCATCCTTCCATCAACTCATCTTTATATTTTCGGATGCATTCCAATGTAAACTACAGACATCAGTACATAATTCAGTGTGCATAACATGAAGTATAGTTAAGTATTCGTCTAGTTTTGTTTTGGTAAAATTTACGTACAAGAAAATGCACAAATCTTAAGTGTACATTTGGTGAGTTTTGACAAATGCAAAGCACCTATACAAGTCCAAACCTCTATCAAGACATAGAACATTAATATTACCCCCACAAAGTATCCTCATGCTATTTCCCAGTCAATCCCTATTCCCACTTGCTCAGGAGCAACCAATGTTCTGATTTTTTTCCACCAAAGATGCAAGAATTTCATACAAATGGAATCATACAGTATATCCTCATGTAAAGCTTCTTTCACACAGCACAGTGTTTCTGAGATTCATCCATGGTTGCTACATACACCAGCTGTCCATTCCTTTTTGTTGCTGAGTAGTTCCATTGTATAAGTATGCCACAGTTTGGTTAGCCATTCTCCTATTGATGGACCCTTAAGCTGTTTTCAGTTAAGGTCTATTATAAATAAAGTTGCTATGAACATCCTTGCACACATCTTGTTGTCAATATGTTTATTTACCCTGGATAAATAGTTAGTAATTGAATTGCTAGGATCTAAGACAGGTATAAGGATCCCTGGTAGTGCTGCTAAACGAAAGACAGGTAGTTAGAAACTACTAGCTAACGTGGCAGCCCACTTCTGTGAAGATTTACAGTCTTGGAAACCCCATAGGACAGTTCTACTATTTTCTATAGGCTGGCTGAGTTGGAACTGACTCGATGGCAGTTGGTTTTTTTTTTTTTCTTTTTGGTTTTAAAACAGGTATATGTTTAATTTTATAAAAACCTGCAAGACCTTTTACCAAAGTGGTTGTATCATTTTGGATTCTCACTAACAATTTATAAGCATTCCAGTTGCTCTAGTGTTGTCAGTTTTTTAAATTTAGCCATTATGATGAATAAACAATGGCATTCCACTGTGATTTTTTTCCTCTTTATTTGTCTTTATTATTATTTTTACTGTCAATTTATTTGCATTTCCCTGAGCTCTGGTGGCACAGGGCCTAAGGCATTTGACTGCTAACCAGAAAGCTGGCAGTTCAAACCACCAGCCACTCCTCGGAAGGAAGACTGGGCAATCTACTTCTGTAGAGACACCACCTAGGAAACCCAAGTAGGGGCCACTATGAGTAGGAATTGACTTGACAGCAGTGAATTTGGTTTTGGAATGACTGATACTGTTGAGCATCTATTGGTTTGCATACATAAACTTATAAGGAGCATTTGTTGTTATTTGCCATGGAGTCGGCCCTGACTCATAGCGACCCCTCCTTGGGTTTCCGAGGCAGTATCACTACGGAAGTAGGATTGCCCAACCTTCCTTCCGAGGAGTGGCTGGTGGGTTTGAACCGTCAGCCTTATAAAGTAGAATATCTTCTTTATAGATTGAATATTTTATTACAGTGACTTTATTTCTAGTAATTTTTTAAATCTTAAATTCTGTTGTATTAACATAGCTAAACCAGCTTTTAGTTAATATATCTATATAGTCTTCTCTCTCTCTCTCTCTCTATATATATAATATACACACACATATATACACATCATATATATATACATATTATATATATACATATACATATATAACATTTAATTTCTTTGCCTTTCAATATTTCTGTTGGTATTTTAGGCATGTTTCTTGTAAATAACATATAGCTAGATTTTATCCAGTCTAACAACCTATGTTTTTTACCAGAAGAGTTCAGTTTACTTATATTTATAGTGTTTACTGATATATTCAGATTTTTCTACTTTCTACCTTATTCTGTAATTTCCCACCATCCTCCTTTTTCTTTCTTTCTCATTCTTTCTCAGCCCCTTTTAGATGAAGGATTTTTTCTCATTCTAGTTTTCCCAATCTATTGGCTTAGAAGATAAACATTCTATTTATTTCAGTGATTACTCTTGAAAATTTAACACTGAAACTATTAATAACACAACTCTTCTCCCAAATGCTATCTGGATCATAGAGTACATTGATTCATCTTCACAGTAATGAAAACCTACCTATGTAGAAAATCTTCTCATTGTTTTCCTAGTGCTTATCACATGAAAAAGTACTGAATAACTCAGATATTTATAATACTCCATCACTGTTTTAAATTTTGGCCTTCTATCCTAGACTATATCAACATGGGACTAATAATCTATTAAAATGAGGAAATAAACACAATCTATTTAAGTGAGGAAAAAAATACCTCCTCCTTGTTGCATAAAATATTGTTCCAAGTTATCACAGTCAATTTTTGTTCTACAGAAGATAATTGCTTGATCCATCTTGTGTTCCTTGATTGCCCGGACAGCATACTCCCCCTTCAGGATTTTAATAGCTTCAGACCACATCTCTTGAATATCACCACAACAACAGAAAAAAAGAATTAAATTTCAGGTTGTCATGAACACTTATAATTATAGTCATAGACTTATTGTTTAACTCTTTTAAAAAAAAAAAAGTTGTTTTTTTTTTTTTCATACAGACAAGGACCAGATGAAATAAGAGGGGTGAAATAGTGAGTTAATCCATTTCTTTATTTTTTTAACTTTTTATGCCAGTCTACAGGGTACACAAACACCCATGACCATATTTCATTGGGAGCAAAATATACAAATACACAGAAATACATATCCACACCAAAACTTTGTTCTACCTCTCATTAAGAACTAAACATATTCTGCCTGGCATCAACTATCTCTAAATGATCAATAAATGTTTATTATTTTAACTCCTTTTAAAAAAATAATAAACGTACTTTCTAAATACCAGCAAGTTCAAACTTCATTCTATGGAATAAAAAATCTTAACACCAAACCTAATAATTCTTTAGTCATTATCCTCCAAATTGTCTTTTCATTGTGAAGCTCAGCTATACTTATCCCTCAACTACTTAATGCAAGATTTTAGTTGTATAACCCAATTTATTTCTAAGGTCTCTCTGGTCATCTCTAATAATAAAGATGCAAAAAGAGCAAAACTTTTACAAGGAAAGTATATAAAGTAGCAAAAAAGTTATATTACAAAATGCATTCCCAAACAGTGGGATGTATCCCACGTTATTTTGAACTCACAATATCTCTGCTCCTCTCCAATAGTAAAGCTAGTTGAGCAAACATCTTGTAAATTTGGAGCTCACATATAACTGAATTTAAAGAAACTCTCTTAAGATTTCACATGATTCACATTTTGGATACTTGTCAAAGAAGTCAACCATTAACCAAATGCAGTCTAATCCCTGCCATTGATTCCCTTTAATTATGTGATGTCAGACATGCAATTTAATAGGCTTAATATGAATTCTTCTAGATTCTCTAAGTATTATCTATGTATCATTTTTTTTATATGTCTTCAAAATATTATGTACCTAAAACAAATGGATTCAGTTCTGTATAAAGATATCTTCACTACATCAAGATTTATTGTTATGCTTTTAAAAAATTCATGAAAAATTTAAATATCATTTTGGTATCTTCTGCAAAGGTGGAGGAGCTAAAGACATTTTCCTTTGTTAACCAATATTCCTTAAATGAAGACTCTACATAACATTCAAGGCCAGTATAAAGTCTGTCTCCAAGAAAATTGGCTGGTTTCCTTTGACCAATGAAAATTATATAATCCAAAATATTTGTGATTTAGATGCCAGGAGGCTAGAAACTAAATCAGTAATTGATTATAGTAACTAATTCCTCTAAGTGGACTGGTTCGTTTTTTTATTATTTTTGTTCTGCTTTAATTTTCAATTTGCCTAAATGTTCTGATTTTACAAATTTCCTTAAATCTTTCATTAGAGTAAGCAGCACATAAATTCAATGAAACAAAGCAATTTTTTAAAAAAATTTCTACACATTTTATTGATTCTTTTACCTTACCTGGACTGTTAGCACCAGGTCTGGTGTTATCTTTCGCATGTACTTCATCGGTCTACCAAAAGTAAAAATAATAAGGGTTGGGGATAAGTAAATAATGATTCAGAACAGGTGTCTTTTTTTTTTTTTTTTTTAAGAGAACTACCTTTATCTTTAGACTGCATTCCAGACACATGCCTTTATAGTCTGCAGGGAATATCATTCTTCAGATCCCAAAGAACACTTTATTACCTGTAGATCTAAGACTAACTAATTTTAAAAAATAAAAATGCAAAGTTGGTTTTCAGAAAACTATATATTTATAACAAAAAACCTTTATCATAGAAAGAGTCCCTGGGTAGTGCAAACATTTAATAGGCTCAGCTACTAACCAAAAGATTGATAGATTTTCTACCCAGAGGTACCTCAGAAGAAAGGGCTGGAAATCTACTTCCATAAAACCAGTCACTGAAAACCTATGGAGCATAGTTCTATCTTGACACATGTGGGACTGCCATGAATAAGACTCAACTCAATGGCAACTATTTATATTGCTTGTTTGTTTTTAATTACAGAAATTATAGTGGGAAAAATGACAAGACAGCCACATGAAACTGATTTTTAGAGGAAAACAAGGAACATCAAGAGAACATAGCTCAGAGTTCCTACTAAAATGCTACTGAAAATGAAAATCATTTTATCTGAGATTAGGTCTATATATAGATAATCTTATTTATTTATAAAAATTATATCAAGAAAGGTAATCATAAAAGTAACTGTGCAGGTAGGGAAAAATAAAACACCGAATTCATCACTCATTCAGTGCCTTAAAGGCCTACACTTTCACTGACAATGAATGCACTGTACTTTTTTTTAGTATAGCATCGGACTATTTTAAGCATCACTAGGAACTGGCTCTGGTGGCATAATGCCTAAGGCATCTGACTGCTAACCAGAAGGCTGGCAGTTCAAATCTACCAGCCACTCCTCAGAAGGAAGACTGAACAATCTACTTCTGTAGAGATACTGCCTCAGTAACCCAAGGAGGGGTTGCTATGAGTCAAATTGACTCAATGGTAGTAAGTAAGTTTAGGAACTGCTGTAGTGCCTAAGACATTTGACTGTTAACCAGAAGTCTGGAAGTTCAAAACCACCAGCCACTCACCAGAAGGAAGACTGGGCAATCTACTTCCATAGAGACACCACCTTAGAACCCAAGGAGAGGTCGCTATGAGTCAGAATCGACTCAAAAGCAGTGAGTTTGGTTTGAGGAACCCAAGGTTAACCTAGTCTATGTAGAGTTCTATTCCACACAAATGCCAACATTATATAGTACTTACTCTAATGTGACTTTTTCCAAGCCTTTCCCAGAGTCTGTCAGTTTTGGGATTCACTGGGACAACAACATGATGGACAGTATCTGGAACAGAATCTTCTCCTTTTAAATCAACCCAAGTGGGAAAATGCATTATCTTCTCAGACAGTTTCTTTACATCAAAAGAATGCAAAGTAGCAGAGCAAACAATCACCTAACAGAAAAAGCGAATTTAAATAAAATTTTATTTTATAATAATTACTTCACATGAATATTGATACAGCTTATAGGCACGAAGTTTGCTAAATCTGGCATTTACATTTATTGCTGCCTCTATGCAGCAATAAGCAGGAGTGTGACTTTGTGCAGGTTAATCCCTCTGAATTTCAGTGCCCTTAATGTCACACAGAAATCTTGCCGCTTATTTCTATAAGGAATATAGGTCAAAATTAAGTAAGATAAAAAGGTTTTAAAAATTAAAAATCCTAAGTTACTATTCTATCAAAAGCCCCTTCCTTTAGAACTCTTCCTAAGATGGAAGGATGAAAAAAATAAGAGTAATATTTTCAGAAATAATTCCTAAAGAAGCAACTATTTAATAGTTCAAGATTATTTTTTTCTTCAAACAGGAAGTAGTACTAATAGTCTGAATGTAAATTATTTAAACACTGTGTGTGTGTACGTGTGTGTAGGGGGAGACTAAGAATTATGTCCTCATAGTTTTCTACAACACCTAAGTAATTTACTCAAAATTCAACCTTTATTTCTGAAAGGAGCTTATAAGATTCTTTCTTTTGTGTGTACTATTTAATCAAGTAACAAAATAAACATGTTATACAGAGGTTAATCAGAAAGCAATAAAACAAAAAACTTCGCCCCAGAGAAATTATATAAAAAATTGTCTAACATGTATTTTAAGATGCCTACATATATTTTCACATGCTGTCATTTTATACCTGAAGTCTTTTCCCATCAGAGGTAATCTGAGGAATCTGATTGTGAATCCTGTTTATAAAATCAGAATAGCCTTGAGAAAGAAGCCCATCCTGTATGAGAAGTAAAGAAGATAAAATTTTTAATCAGCATCTAAACCATTCTTTTCTAAATCAAATGTTAAATGTAAAGAAAATAATTTATATACATACATACCCCCATATTTTTAAAACAATTATTTTCAATTAGGTATTTAAAGAAAAGTTGTAAGTTCAACTTCAGATTACATGTGACTAAAACAGCTGACAATAAACAATCCAAAACTAATTAATATTCTAATATTCTAAAATGACCATTCTACAGATAATAGTTCCTCCTACATGCATGTCCTCAAGGATAATTTTAATGAAAACAAACCAAAAATCCTCTCAGTGCTAGGAATTAGTTCAATTCATCTTGAAAATAGTATGTCTGAAGAGCCTTAAACACATTAACGTCCTCCCAGATAGTCCACATTTGCAACTCTTACATAAAGAAATAATTTATAATGTGGGGGAAAATTTTAGATACAAACAAAAATAGACATTTGGAGTAAAAAGCAAACCTACATGTCTAATAACAGAAATGGTTCAATAAACCATGAAACATTCTTATGAAGACCACTAGACAATGTTTAAAACTTGCTTACAATCAATCTTTAATGATAGGCATACATACTTATGATACTGCATTTTAAAAGAGATTTTCCCAGATTCCTCATAGTTGAATTTCAACTACATAAAATAACAGTTACAGAAGGAGTAGGTGAAAAGATACCAAACTGGTAACAATAATTGTCTCTGTAGCGGAGTCATGACTGAACTAGATTTTTTCTTCATTGCTATACAATTTTATCTAAAAAAATACAAACAAACTTTTTTAAAAAAAGCATGATTATATTGCAACATACAGCTTCATCCAGGACCAGGAATCTAACTTGAGATAAGTTCAGTTTTCCAGTTGATACCAAATCATCTAGTCGTCCTGGAGTTCCGACCACTATATCTACCTGAAAAATATCAAAAGAAACACTTAGAAAGAACTGTTACAATGACCTTAAGATAGCAACCAATAACTATATAGTTACACATTCTAAAATAATCACCAAATCAAAACCCACTTCTGTAAGTCAGAGTAGACCTGAGCTTGTTTTCTTGGGTATAATACTGACAGAAGCACATCTCCAGGCCTTTCTTCCAAAATGCTGCTGGGTGGATTCAAACCACTAACCATCCAGTTAGTAATTGAGAGCTTTTGCACCACCCAGGGACCCAGAAACCAAACACCAAACCCATTGCCATCAAGTCAGTTCCAACTCATGGTAAGCCTATAGGACAGAGTGGAACTGCCCCACAGGGCTTCCAGGGCTGTAAATCTTTACAGAAGCAGACTGCCTCATCTTTCTCCAGTGGAGTGGCTGGTAGATTCAAACTGTCAACCTTTTTGTCAGGTGCCCAATGCTTTTAACCACAGTGCTACCAGAGCTCACATTAAATTATAAATAACTATCTTTTTAAAAAATCTATTATAGATAATACCACATATCAAACTTGCATTTGGTTTGAATTAATGTGAAGATTTTTGCAACTAATCTGACATCTTAGCTATTATATATACGTTTTTATTTTTCAAACAAATGCCAGATCAATTTATATGGAAAATTAAATTAAAGCAGGGTTTCAATCCCAGTTCCACAATTAGTCAGCTATATGACCTTAATTAAATCTCTTCTAATCACAATTTTCTCATTTTTGAAATAGGATAATACCTTTTGCTTTGCAAGATGCTTGTGAAAATTAAAAGATACATAAAACACTTGATGCCTAGTTTCAGATGCTGAATAAATTTGATTATAATTAATAATAATTACCTATTTAGGAAAACAATAATAATTATTATTTGCCAAGTGCCTATAAAAATAGGTACTATGTTAAGCATTTTGTAGGTACTGTATCATTTCATGTTACCACTAAGGTAAATATTATTAAAGTAAATTCTAAGATAAATACTATTATTATTATTCCAAACACATTATTATGATTCCTATTAAACTAGCAAGAATACTGTTTCAAAATGTAAGATAAAATTTTTTCCATGTATTGAGCATTTACTATTTGCAAAACACTGAGACAGATGTTGTACAGGGCAGTGAACAAAGTATGCTTCTGGTTCCGTATGTAAGCTCTCTTTAGCATATGTTTCTTGTCAATCATACGAGTTTCCTCTCTCCTTAATTTCAGTAGGTTAAAGTCAGCATGAAAACAGACACAAAACCTCTCAGTTAATAAATAAATGTCAGTTAGATTGGAAAGCCTCAGCGAAAAACTTAAATGATGTATAGAGTACTAACTATTCCATTAGGACTCAATGGAACATTGTATAATACCACCTAAGATTTAAAAACTGAAACAGTTCTACTTTCTCACTCCAAAGCTGATTTCTGTCCCAGCATCAGGCACAAGATAGGGCTAAGCCTGAAACAGAAGATGGTGGAAGACAACAGAAGTAGAGAATATAAAGTGGTAAGAAGAGCAGAAAGGGGACATACTATATGCTCTAAGAATAGAAATAGATCCTGTCCAAAACACTATAGAATAGCACTGTCTTTATTTTATCACTGGCATCATCAGCCATTAAGTGTTGAGATACAACTGAGGAAAGCAATATTTAATTCCCTAAAAGCTTTATAGCTGGAAAATATGAATTGAAAACTGAGTATCTTATATGAAAAATGGGTTTGGGTTTGAGGGACCAAGATTGAGAATAAACCTATCAAAACTCTTGTAACTACATAAATAAAATAACACACTAGAAGAAAACACATCAAAGCAATATAACTCAGATTAGTATTGACAAGGACAATAATATTAATTGCAAGGAATGATTCCTTGTTCTTAATATCCCTATCAGGTCAAGTCTAAAGTTCATTCAGCATATAATTTAGTTTGACAGGGGAAGCAATGTAATTTGGTTACCACCATGACACAACATCAGGTGGTTTAGTTTAAAGGATAAAATATTTAGGAAAAGGGGAAAAAAAAAGTATAAGGAGAAAGTTACTTCATATATAAAATAATACTTTACTGAGTCCTACTTTTGTATAGGGAGCTCTGATAGCATACCTGGCTAAGGCACTTGACTGATAACCAGAAGGCTGGTGGTTCAAATCCACCAGCCACTCCTCGGAAGGAAGATGGGGCAATCTACTTCTGTAGTGATACTGCCTTAGAAACCCAAGGATGGGTCGCTATGAGTCGGGTCCGACTCGACGGCACATAACAACAACAACACTACTTTTGTATAACCCATACTGAGCTATCCAGAAGGGCTGAGCACAGATGAGTTAGAATTTCTCAACTTTCTTTCCCAATAACAGGGATCACAAAGTATTAGCTTTGTCCTTGATAACGGAATGCCCAAGCACAAGTCTTTAATACTTCTCCTTAGGATATTTGAACTCATCTCCCTCCTCACTAGAGCTACTTTTTACTGTCTTGTTACTGAAAAAACATCTACACTTCTCTGCAATCTACTTTATCTCTATTTCAATTCTTACTTCGTTTCTTCCTTTTTAATTATCCCCCAAAAGAGAGACTCTTAATTGATCACGTGCTCAAAAAGTAAACAAACAAAAATGCATGTATGCTGGAATTTTGCATGAGGGATTTGGAACAGACTAGTGTTCTATCTACTTCTGAGGGAAAAAGAGAACTTGTAAGATATAGCTGAACAAATACATACTCTTCTAAACTTGTACTAAGTTTAGTCTCATTCAATTTTTCTTTAAACAAAACAGGTATATTGCCAAAAAACAGTAACTTGTAATATAACTTTCTATAATTGAAAGTACAACTTACCCCATTATCCAGAACAGAAAGCTGATCCCGAGCTGCAACACCTCCAATTATCAGAAGTTCCCTGAAATACAAAGTGATAAAGTAGAAAAAAGGATTAAAGCTTCCTTTATATCCGTATCTTTTGGGTAGTAATTAAGGTGATCCTCACAACTGGACTGATAAACAACATTACGATAAATGAAGACAAAACTGAAGTTGTCAATGATTTCTCTCTACTTGGATCAACAATCAATGTCCGTGAAAGCAGGAGTCAAGAAATCAAATGACATTATTTTGTAGGGTAAATCTACTGCAAAAGACCTCTTTAAAGTTTTAAGAAGCAAAGATTCCATTTTGATGTCTAAGGTACACCAGATCCAAGCCACAGTCTTTTCAGTCTCCTCATATGCACACAAAAGCTGGACGATGAAAATGGAAGACGAAAAAGAACTACGATGCTGGTGAAAAATAATGAATAAAGATAGAATAAAGATAACACTTTTATATATACAATACTGCATTAGCAATAATAACACATTAAACTACAGGTGGATACACAGTTAGACAAGCTGAATGATCGGGTATATATGTAGGCAAAAGGGAATATACCCATGACTGTATGTAAGTTTGGCACACAGTATTTCTACATATGTATGTGTATGTGCTACATATATAAATATATACATTTATATATATTATATATATATATATAAAATATATATATAATAGAGCTAACAACAACAACATAAAAAACCCACTGACATCAAGGCAATTTCGATTCATGGCAACACCCATTGGGTTTCCGAGGCAATAAATCTTTACTAAAGTAGATTGTCCCATCTTGCTTCCATGAAGTGGCTTGAACCACCAACCTTCTGGTTAGCAGTTAGATGCCTTAGGCACTATGTTACCAGAGCTCCTTATAATAGAACTAACAGAGGGCAAAGTTATGATAACTTCTTAGCCACAGCCAATGAGGGAGCAAGTCGTTGGGCCCATGGGATTGAGACCATGGTTGTGGGAGACATCAAGCTCAAATGGCATAACATACTACACAAAAGCATTGTTCCACATACTACTTTGGTGAATAGCAACTAGGATCTTAAAAGCTTTCTAGTGGCCATGTAAGATTTAACAATTGACCTCTTCTCGTCCAGAGCAAAGAGGAATGAAGAAAACCAAAGATTCATGGATACAATTAGTCCAAGGGACTAGTGGAGCATGCAAACCTCAGCCTATACGACCCTAAGACAAGAAGAACTAGATAGTGCCTGGCTACCCCTGTCAACCACTCATAAAGGGATCAAAATGGGAGATCCTTCATAAAGTGGGAGAAAAATGTGGAACAAAACTCAAAACCATAAAAAAGACCAGGCTTACTGGTCTGACAGAGATAGGTAAAACCCCTGAGACTATGGCCCCTAGTCACTCTTTGGGCCTGGTATTGAACTCACTCCCATGGCTTCCAGCCAAACAACAGACTGGTTCATAAGATGAACGTTTACATGAATGTCTACACCATGTAGATATACTCCTTAGAACAATCAACCATGGGAGATCAGATGGCAGTATCTGCACAAGGAGATAGCTCAGAGGGCAGGAATGCATAGGAAAGAAGGACACAGGGAAAAGGTACCCCAGCCACAGGGAGGAAGTGGGAAGAGCTGTTACATTATAAGGACTGCAATTAATGTCATGAAGTAAAATATATATGAACTGCTAGTATGGAAAATAAATTTGCTCTGTAAACTTCTACCCAAATCACAATTGGAAAAAAAGAAGGAGAATGGACTAAGGGAAGATTGAACAAATTCGTCTTGAAAAATATAGCCAGAATGTTGTTTAGAAGCAAGGATAGTGAGACTTCTGCTTGCTTACTTTATATATGTCATCAGGAAAAGACTAATTGCTAGAAAAGGACATCATTTTTGTAAAGCAGAGAGTGAGGAAAATCATCAGTGAGAAAGACTTGATACAATAGCCACAACAATGAACTCAAACATATAAACATCATGAAACACATAAACATCATGGCACAGGAACAGGCAACATTTTAGTGTTATAAAGCTACCATGAGTCAAAGTGATTCAATGACAACTAATACCAACAAAGTAATTAAGAAAGAATCCACAACAAAGTAAGTTTGAACCAGGATGGAAATAAGCACTTTATTCCCAATAGCCATATACAATGTTAAAACTAGGTGAAGCAGAATGTCAAACTTGGAACACAAAGAAAATTACTCTTTATCTGTATATCTCTCCCTATTAGGATACATTCAAAGTCTTCAAAAATCTGACTTCAACCTTCCATGGGAAATATATATGCTTGTATTTATACAAATTATCTCTGCAAAACAAAAAAGGGTTGTCTTTGGGAAGACAACTAGAAACTGGAGGACAAAAGGAGAAAGAGACTTACTTTCACAGAATACCTTTTTCATTATTTTAAATACTTCACAAGTTTTCTCAGATTTTTTAAAAAAGAGTACCTCATGTCAAAACAATTCAATGGAAGAAAAATATTGTTTTCAAAAAATGGTACAAGAAAAACTAGACACGTCACATGCAATAAATGAGGTTAGACTCCTTGGCTTATATTATACACAAAAATTAACTCAAAATAGATCACACATCTAAATGTAAGATCTAAAAATATAAAACTGTTAGAAGAAAACATAGGAATAAATATTCACAACACTGGGTTAGGCAAAGACATCTTAGGTTCACTATGAAAAGCCTAAGTAACAAAAGAAAAATATAGGCAAATTGGCCTTCATCAAAATTAAGAATTTGTTTCCTTCAAACAGTACCATAAAGGAAATGAAAGGGCAATTCACAGAACAGGTGAAAATATTTGCATAAGGGACCTGTGTCAAGAATATATAAAGAATGTTTCCAACTTAAAAATTAAAGGGCAAATAACCCAATGGAAAAATGGGCAAGGCAGTTGAACAGATACTTCTCCAAAGATAACATACAAATGGTCAATCAGCACATGAAAGATGTCCAACATAATTAGCTATTAAAACCATTAAAAACCGAAACCACAATCAAGCAGATTCCACTTTTGGCAGCTCCACATGTATCAGACAACTATGCTCCATTGGGTTTTCAATGTCTGATTTTTTTGGATTACATCACCAGAACTGTTTCCTAAGGTGTCTCTCAGTTGCGAACCTCCAACCTTCCAGTTAGCAACCAAGAATATTAACCATTTGTACTACTTAATAAGCTATTCTTCTTTTCAAAAAAAAAAAAACACCCACTGCCACTGAGTTGATTCCAACTCATAGTAACCTCCATTGGCTTTCTAAGGCTGTAAATCTTTATGAAAGCAGAATGCCTCAACTTCCTCCTGCGAAGCAGCTTGTGGGTCTGAACTGCTAACGTTCTGATGAGCAGCCAAATGCCTTACCTACTGTACAAGTGGGACTAGTTATTAACTATATGCAAATCAAAATCACAATGAGATACCACTTCACACCCATTAGAATGTCTGTAATCAAAAAGAGAGATGATAATAAGTGTTGGTGAGGACGTAGAGAAACTGGAACCCTCATACATTGCTATGTTGTTGAGTAATAACTTTGGAAACAATTTGGCAGTTCCTCAAAATGTTAAATATGAAGTTACCAAGATCCAGCAGTTCCATATGTAGGTAGATACCCAAGATAAATGAAAATGTATATTCATACAAAAAGGTATATACAAATATAAATACTAAGATAGCTAAAAAGTGAAAACAGCCCATATGTCCATCAACTGAAGAATGGATGAATACAATGTAGTATATCCATAAAATGGAGTATTATTTAGCTATAAAAAGGAATAAAGTACTGATAAACATATAGATTAAAATAAAGGGGGAAAAAAGGGGTGACAGAGGCCAGACACCAAAGATAACATACTGTTTGATCCCACTTACATGAAATGTCCATAATATGCAAATCCACTGAGAAAGAAAGTAGATTACTGGTTGCCTAGGGATGGAAGCTCTGGTAGCATAGTGCCTAAGGCACTTGACTGCTAACCAGGAGGCTGGAGGTTCAAACCCACCAGCCACTCCTCGGAAGGAAGGTTGGGCAATCTACTTCTGTAGTGATACTGCCTTGGCAACCCAAGGAGGGGTCGCTATGAGTCGGGTACGACTCGACGGCACATAACAACAACAGGGATGGAAGGTAGGAGTTCTGGTGGCACAGTGCCTAAGACATCTGACTGCTAACTAGAAAGTTGGTGGCTGAAACCTGTCAGCACTCTGATGTAAGTCAGAATGGAAATGGATAGAGATGGAAGGGTTAGGTGGAAATGGGAGGTTGACTGCTAATGGTTTCTTTTCAGGATGATGAAAAAACATTCTAAAATTGGTTTTGGTGATCGTTACACAATTATGGGAGCATACTAAAAGCTAAAAAGAAAAAAAACCTATATTTTAAAGGGTAAATTGCACAGTGTTTGAATTATATCTCAATAAAGCTATTTATAAAAAAAAGATTATCTTTTCTTTAAAAATAATAGACACAACTATTTCCAGAGGCAGCCAGATGAACTTTCAATCAGAATTGTCTACGAAATATCTTACTAAAAAGTAAATAAGAAAAAATTATTACCAATTTTCTAGTCATTTTTAAAATAATGGAAAGTATTAAGAAGTGGATAACATGTTAACAAAGTCCCTTTCAAGTCTTACAATTTTGTGACTGATTAAAAATAGGCCTTATGGTTGCATACTTTCATCTTAAGCAATCTAGATAGTACAAGTAAGTAAGCAAAAGAAAAAGCTTCCTAGTCTATGAATATCCATTATCTTGGCATATTCTCTAACCACTTGCCACCCTAGAGCCATTATGTTTCCTCAGTTGGTCAGTACCACATGTCAGTTTGGCAACATATGAATTATCTATAGCATCTTTTCTTCTTTAAAAAAGCACAAAACGTTTTAAATCCTATTAAAAGAGGAGAACTATAAATTCATTATCATAAATGAGATTCCCAAGTTCTCAGGTTTAGAAACTATTTCTTAATTTCATCATTTCTTCTATTATACTTTACTCTTGTACATCTTCCAAATCAGATATACTCACCCCTATAAATATAGTGAAAGATATATATGCATATACATGACAATCTGTGTTGGTATATGAAACACTATAGGGTTAAAACATATAAAAGAACAGTGTGCCTTCCTTAAGAAGTGTACAATAAGAGTTGAGGAGATTAAAGCTAATTGTCTTTAAAAATAAAACACTAACACATGACAGTATGTAAGCATTAAGGAGTGGCATATACTACCAGAAGTATCAAGGGAGGGAGAGATGACTGGGCTAGGACAGATAAGTTAGTTTCACAGAAAGATTAGGACTGGAGTTGAGTTTTGAAGGAAGGAAAAGGCTCATTTGTACTGAATACCAAAACCCAGTTTTACCACTTGAACAAATTAGTTTCTTTTTATTCCTCTTTCCTTCAAGCCCTTGTTTATAGGTGTGTTGAGTTTTATACATAGCACAAAATAAATTTATATTGGTGTTTTACATTCTTCTAAAAATACTCTTATGTGACTGCCTTCAGTCTCTTACATTAAGCAGATGCCCTGGCTATTTATTCTTATAGTGACTTTCCTTAACATACCTTCAAGGCTTTTTATCACATCTGCCTCTCTAGAGCCCTCCACACTATACCCACATTAAATTCTACATCTCATTATTGTATCCCTGGTGCCTAATCTAGGATACAGTAGGTACTCAAGTATTTGTTGAATGAGTAGTATATATCAATCCTCAAAACAAAATTAGGAATATTTTATCTGAAAAGTATTATTTAGTATAATTTATTCCTGAGTAAGTATTTTCACCTTATAGGTAAGTTTACCACTAAAATGATAGGACTTCTTGGTGTCAAAAATTCAGTTTCTGGAAATAGATAGCGGTGATGGTTTGAAAACCCAAGGAGGGGTCACTATGAGTCGGATACGACTTGACAGCAATGAGTTTGGTTTTGGAATTTAGATGGTTGCACAACCTTGTGACTATACTAAAAACCACTGAATTGTACACTTGTGCATGTGAATTTTATGGTATGTGAATTTTATGGTATGTGAATTTTAATCGGAAATACTAATTCAAAGAAAAATTAACAAAAGGCTCTGGTAGCATAGTGCCTAAGGCACTTGACTGCTAACCAGAAGGCTGGCGGTTCAAACCTACCAGCCTCTTCTTGGAAGGAAGGTTAGGCAATCTACTTCCGTAGTGACACTCCCTCGGAAACCCAAGGAGGGGTTGCTATGAGTCGGGTCTGACTCGACAGCACATAACAACAACAAGTATTTTACTTATACAGCGTGGCCTTCCCAAAATTAAAAGGAATTGCTACCAAGCAAGAAGTTCCAAAAGAGCACATCACTTATGGTCCCCATTAAAAAAAAAAAAAAAAACAGTTGATGCTGACTTGACTCCAACTCATGGAAACCCCTTTTGTGTCAGAGTAGAACTATGTTCCATAGGGTTTTCAACGGCGGCTGCTTTTTTGGAATGCAGATCATTAGGCCTTTCTTCCAAGGTGCCTCTGGGTGGACTTAAACTTCCAATCTTTCAGTTAGCAGTCAAGAGGATTAACTGTTTGCACCACCAACTGGCAAAAGGAGTCCTGCAACTTGATAGTGACCAATCTGAAAGCCCAAACGGAAGAAAGCCACCATTGCAAGACAGTCGAGAATCAATTTTGGACAAGTTATGTTTTCCAACACCCCAGAAGTAGAGAAATAACATTTGCTATGTAGATGAACTGATAAAATGAATCTAACATTGAATGAAATGTTCCCATAAAAAAATTACTTTTACTGGTATTGCTTTGCAAACTCTTAACTCTTCACAGGAAGAGACACAGTGAAAAGTCATATTTGCTTTTTTTTGAAAAAATCATATTTATCACTTACCAAGGTGGAGTTTTACATAAAAACTGTTTCTAAATATCAAAGTTGAATATATTCACACGTTCACATAGGTCTACCTGTATACATAGACTGAATTTTCTATCTTATTTTTTTCTACCTTACTCTTCTAAAATACCTCAAACCTAAACAATAGACATTTGAGCACAAAAAGAACTTTACCTTAATTTAGGATTATCAACGTATTTCTTAAACTGCTTGACGTTATTCAAAGTTTGTTCAGCCAGCTCTCGGGAGGGTTCCACAATGAGGGCTTTCGGAGCATTGGGGAGGAACTTCGCTTGTGCCACCTGTGCACTGCCTTAAGAGAAAAACATGAAACATATCAAATCACATCTCTAAATAGCTTTATTTCTAAAACAGGAGTACAAATATTCCAATGACAAAATTTTAAATAATAATTATTAAAAAGTATAGAAAGACAGTCAAACAACATGAAATAAAGGTCCAATTCCTAAAATGAACTAAGACTTCTTTAAATTAAATTTACTTGGAATAATTGCAATCGACCTTTTCTCTCTGGAAAAATTATCTACTTGTTACGTGATAAAAAAAATTTATATGATGATATGTCTCTACTGTAAGTAACTAAAATATACTAGACAGTATAATGTATGAGCTTCAGACTGCCTGAATTTGAATTCAACTCTACCATTTACTTGCTCTGTGACTTTGAGAAAGTTATCTTAAGTCCCTACTCTTCAGGTTCTTTGTCAAGAAAGTGGAAGAGTTCTGCCTTAAAGGGTTGTTGTGAAGATTAAATAAAATAATCCATGTACATGGATGTACATATGTACATGGTACCCTGGCACTTAATTAACAAGCACGCATTTTATAACTATTAGATATCATCACCATCGATATCTGGATCCTCAAAATGCTTAAAATGAAACCATATACTTAAGAGTTTATGAATTAAGTTTTGAAAATTAATTTTACTAATGTGTTAAATAACTGTGTGACTAAGTCAGCAAGGGGGTATGTGTAACTAACTCACTCTAAGGAGCTTAAATGAAGATTTTCACCAATATCCCATCCTAGAAATCCTTATTCTCTCGGTTATAATACCTGTGTGCTGAGATTTGGTAGTGTAACTATC